TCTACAGCCTCTACAGCGAATAGTGCACGAAGGTAGGCATTGGCGCGAAAGACACGAAGGCCAGGTTTGAAACTACGGTTTTCGTAATTCCCCTTGTAGGAGTTCTATTAGGCCTGATACAAAAGAAGAGTACACGAAGGTGAGGTTTGTAGCGACACGAAGACCATGTGCACCCTACTACTACTACTACTACTACTACTACTACTACTACTACTACTACTACTACTACTACTACTACTACTACTACTACTACTACTACTACTACTACTACTACTACTACTACTACTACTACTACTACTACTACTACTACTACTACTACTACTACTACTACTACTACTACTACTACTACTACTACTTACTACTACTACTACTACTACTACTACTACTACTACTACTACTACTACTACTACTACTACTACTACTACTACTACTACTACTACTACTACTACCACTCTTTCTCCTCCTTCTCCTCCTCCTACTCCGCCTCGTCCGCCTGCTCCTCCCTTCCCCTTGTTGTGACCAGCTGGCACAGACTCAGCGTTTCACCAATGTTATGCGCGCGACTGAGAAGCCGCCCGAGCGCAGCGGCTGGCTGTGCGGAGCGGAACTTCCCCCCCAATGGCCACCCATGCTCTTCCTCCTCCGCCGCCTCCACCTCCGTCTCATCTCCCACGCCGCCCCTTCCCCCTTCCTCCCGCGTCCGGCGCTGCACGCCGAAGCCCGGCTACACGTGAGAGTGACCCAGAGTGGCCTTCAGGTGCGTGGCGCTCGGGGGGCGCGGGAGGGCGAAGCCCCGGTGCGCAGGCCGCCGCCATGGTCGCCCCGCGCGCCACGCTCGGCGAGCCGCGCACCATAACCAGTTTGAAGCATAATTATCCCTGTCCCTGTATTTGGCATCACCTCGCCTCGATGTCGATCTTCAGGACTCCCTCGGTTTCTGAGGGCACACCCCTAAGATTGTCCTCGCTTTCTGCTCGCCCCTCTTAGGGATAGGGAAAAGTCCGAGGCTGGTTGCGCCAGGGACCACGCCTGCCCAGTGCCACGCCCTGCGTGCGGCCGAGGTGCGGCGAGCGGCCTCAGAGGCGTCTTGGGCGCGCCCCCCCCCCCCCCAGGGCGGCACCAGATCGGGGCGGGGCGGGGGCAGCCCCGCCCGCGGCCTCCGCCTCGAGGCGCTCGGGGCCGCGGCGCCCGGGAAGCTGCGGCCTGGAGCGCCTGCGAAGGGGGGCCTCGCCTTCGGCTTCGGAGGACCTCGCCCCCTCGGCCTCGGAGGGCTCGGGGCGGCTGCCCCTGCAGTTTTCCACCCTCACCGGGGGTGCGGGTGCTCGGGGGCGGGGCTGAGGAGCCTGGGCCTGGCTGGCTGGCCCTCGCAGGGCGCCCGCAGGGCTCTCTGCATCTTGTGCCGGTGCCGGGACACCGGTAGGCCTTCCCGGCCAGCCCACCGCAGAGCTCCCAGCCGACAGTTCGAGGGAGCGGCGACCTGAGAAAGAAAGGCCAGCCGAGGTAGAACGGCGGCGGGGAAGCTCGGCGAAAGCGAGAGTGAGGCGTCAACACATTTGGGCTCGGAGGTTCCGAGGGGGTCGGCCAGCCCCAGTCCCTTCTTCTCACTGTTTTCTTTGCCGTCCCCTCGTCTCGAGGGAAGATGCACGATGACCATGACCAAGCTGTCGCAGGATCTTGTCGACACCGATCTTGGTCATGGTTCATGCCAGCCGTCGCCGATTCGCGAGGATGATCCGCGAATTGACAATGACCAACATGGGAAAAATCGGCAACGTTTCCGCGCTCAGTCTTCATCATGGTCCTCGTTTGATTTCTCTCCCTTGTCGCCTCCTGGTGAGCGCGTTGCGTTGGTCGGCTACGCGTTAGGATGACCTTTCACCAGAGTGACCTTTGGTGCGGGCAGGGGTCCAAAAGGTACTGGCTGGCGCGCTCGGACTGCTTGGATTTGGCCTCCCCCGCGGCCCCCTGCAGCCGCGCACCGCAGGCCCCTCTTGCCACCCCCGCGCACAGCCGAAACGGGGGAGGTGCGGCTTTCTCGGGCAGCTCCAGTACTGGAGCGGGTCCTCTTCACCCCCCCCCCCTGGTGGCGGGGCGCCCGCCGGGCTGGCAGCGGGCTGCCGGCTCAGCGCGTTGTCCTGGTGTAGCCCCTCCCTCCTTGCGTGCTCGTCTCCTCATTCCTCCTCGTTGCTCCGCGCCCTCCTCGTGTTCCTCAACCTCCAGCCCCCCTCTCCCTTACTCCCTCCCCTTCTACCCTTTCCCCTCCCCCTTCTCCCAGTCCTCCCCGCTCCGTCTTCCTTTGCGCCCCTCCCCCTTGTCCTCGTTCGCCTCCTCTTTCCCGCTCTGCCCCCCCTCGTGCCCCTGTCGCCCCCCCTCCCCCCCCCACCCCATCATCCTTCTTCCTCTTCTCCTGCCCCCCCCTCCTTATTGTCCTCCCCTGCCCCATGTCGCTCCTGACGGACGCCGCCAGCCCCAGGAGGAGGTCCATTTCGGGGGCCTGCCTGCTTCATGGTGCGGAGTTCTCCTCCTCCTCCTCCTCCTCCTCCTCCTCCTCCTCCTCCTCCTCCTCATCTTTCTCTTTCCAGGGAACGCTTTGGGTCCGCTTGCTTTAGCTTGCTATAGCCTGCACTGCTCGATTGCGGTCGCGATGGTCCTCAGGACGTGTGTTAGCCCAGTGCGTCTTTGCCCTGTTCAGCCCCACCCGCAGCGCGCAGATTGTGTCGGTCGGCCCTCACTGCGCCGCCCGCGTCGTGTCGAGTGGGTCGAGGGGCTTCGGTGGGCAAGCACTGGCTGGCGCTAACACACGTTCAGAGGATCATCGAGAGTGGCGGAGGAGGGAAAAGGGAGGCCGCGTAGGAGGAGGCGGAGACGACGACGTTGACAATGGCGTCGACGGCAATGACGACGACGACAACGACGACGACGACGATGAAGACGACGACGACGACGACGACGACGACGACGACGACGACGACGACGACGACGACGACGACGACGACGACGACGACGACGACGACTACAACGAAGCGACGACGACGACGACGACGACGACTACGACGACTACGACGAAGCAACGACGACGACGACGAAGCGACGACGCCGATGACGACGGCGACGACGACGACGACGCCGACGACGACAACGACGCCGACGACGATGACGACGGCGACGACGACGATGACGATGACGACGACGACGACGACGGAGCCCCGCGCAGCAGGAGGAGGAGGAGGAGGAGGAGGAGGAGGACGGAGTCGGAGAAGGAGGGGGGGAGGAGCCGGGCGGAGGCAAGGGACAGGGAGGCGGGGGAGAAGGAGGGCGACGACGGTAGGATGCGGGAGGATCGGATCGATTCGGCAGGAGGAGGTGTCAAGCTCCGCAGCACCGCGCAGGCCCCCCTCTGTGGAGGGGCCACCTGGTGTGGAGCTTCAAGCTCAAAATCCGTACTGGCAGTACTCCCATCGCGCCCTGCTGGGCGGCCAAAAAGCTACCGCGGCCCCAACCATCCACCCTGGAGGTGAGAGGAGGGAGAGCGGGGGAGGGCGACGACGACCACGACGACCACCACCACCACGACGGCGGCGACGACGTCGACGCCGGCGGCGTCCGGGATCCCCGACGCCAGGAGGCCGCAGGGGGTCGCCCGGCGGCAAGTCTTCCCGCGCGTCCGCCTCGCCGCGGGGTGGCTCCTCGGGCAAGTCATCCCGGTCTGCGTCCCGCCCGCGTGGTGGGGCCGCCGCTGGCCGCCGCCAGCGAAGACGGCCAGCCGCTGGCCGCCCGCCGCCGCAAGCGAAGACGGCGGCGGCGGCGCCGAGAGCGACGACGACGACGCGGAAGAGGAAGTTCTGGGGCTCTCGACCGCTTTCGTCGGTTACCACCGGTTGTGCAGCCTCGCGGTGTTTTGCAGCAGCTGCGCCTCGCCGAAAGCGTTCCAGGGGCGCCCGAGTTATCCCGAGCGGCCGCCAGAACCCCCAGCTTGGCCCACAAACCGTCCGAAAGCCAGGTGCCCATCGCGATGGAAAAATCAAGATGGGGCGAGGTCGGCGGTTTCACTTCTGGGGGCCCTCGCCAGGCCCTGGGGCCGCCAAGAAACGGCTCAGGACACAATGCCAGCCCCCCAGGGGCAAGGGCGGGGACTTTCTCGGACGCGCCGCACTGACCACAATGAAGTCACCGGACGTCTGGGGACGAGGACGCTCTGTTCGAGAGGCCGCTTGTGATGCGCCACGCCCAATCCCGCCCACTCCCGGCCCTTTTGGGTCGACATGTTGGTCTGAGCGTGTATACGGCAGCCCCGTGGGAACAGGATCGTATCTCAGAGGGCAATACACGGTACTCCCTCTCCTCCATGTCCTCTTCGTCCCGATTCATGATCCCCTCCATGACTCCGAAATTGACGTTGCGCTCGGTTTGCGCCACCCGCCGTCTGGGTGCCTCACAGCTTTCATCGTTGCTTTTTCCAGGTTTGTGACAGGGTACCCACTGTCCTTGTGCTCCCTACTCAATGCATGTATCGCAGCTCTCGTCGCTCACATCCCTCTTGGCACGCTCAGTCGCATTCACACGTGTACATACGTCTACCCTACTCGCTCTTGTGTGTGTTTGCAACATGGGCAGCAATTTCCTTCATACTTCTTCTTCTTGTCCAGTACAGTCGGGCCGCTGAAGAAGGAACCCTTCTCGTGAGAGAGTGGCTCAGTGCTTCTTAGTGGTTGTGTCGTTTGTCTCCGGTGTCCCTATGTGGAAAATCGAAATTCAACTTATGGAAAATGTATCCATACTCAGGGTTCCTTATGACAGCGTTTCCATTGTATTGTTCAGCAGTTGCCTTCGTCATCACTGTCTGCATTTCACTATTCCCCTGCTGCTGCCCCCTCGCCTGTGTGGTCTGGTCCGTGTCACTTGACCCTGATTCGGTAGTGGTTCAATGTCTTTGCCCCGGAAGCCCCGCCTCATCGGTCGTCCTCGCGGGACGTTGCACGAGACGGAGATATCTCCTCACGATGTTCGTCTGGCCACTGCCTCTGGGAGAGTTCCACGAACTCTTCGGAACCATCGAGGACGCGATGATGACGGTCATGATGCGCAGTCGCGTTGCCACGATGTTTGAGTAGTGTTAGTTCGATATTATTGGACCATGTGTGCACCACGGAGACTGTCTTCAGCTATGGGTGACAACCATCTTCGGCCATGTAGAGTCTCAGTGGGAGAAACATGCAGGAGGTCGTGCATGACACCCTGTGGTTGGGCGTATCCGTGCATGGTGACACGTTTGAAGCCATGTGCGCTTCGTGTCCCTGGTACGAGATGTTGGGAGGAGAAGGTCTTCCGGTGGCACCGTGGCATCTGTTTGCATGTATGTACGGGGCTGTCAGTCTGTCAGTGCCGAACAAGAAGAGGCACACGACATAACCAGCTATGATCGGAGGTCCGCGCCAGTTTCCAGGGCTGGCGCTGGGCCTCCCCTGGCGGAGCTTCCGGCGACGCCCACGGCGCGCTCCGCACGCAAGGGACAGGGGGCCCCGACGCCGACCCAAGAAATCTGCGCGAGCCTCCCAAAGGTGAGGTTCATGCCGTTGTCTGCTTCGTCTCTGCGAGCTGCAGCGTGCGGTGTTGCGGTGCCTGGGCTGCACAACAAACTGCCAGAAGTTCATCGGGCTCCTCTGTCTTTAGCTCCGCGGCGGGCAGTCGCCACCGTCGCAGCGGCCGTGGGCCTCCCTGCTGCAGGAGGCACATCAGATAAGAAGCCAGCTTGCCAGCAAGTGGCCTATGGAAGTCTCTTTCGCCCCAGAGGCCCCGGGGATCCGCAAAGATCTTGGAGCACCTCCGAGCCGATGAAGGCGCGCAGCGAGTGTGCCCCTAGATTTCTCACGTCACGATGCCCAGCCCCATGCGCTAGGTGTAGTCATCATCCAGCGCTTCTGCCACACTGGGTCTGCTTCTGCCTCGGCGCATCTTGGATCTCGGCCGTCTGCTTTCACGGTAGGTGGTTGTGGTTTTGTCAGTTCAGCTTGTTTCCTGCCTCTGCCTGAGAGAGGAGCAGAGGAGAAGGTTGGGGCAGCTACAGAAACACAGTGACGCATACGAAGACAAACCAACGACTAAGATGTCTAGTGGCGACCTCTGGCCCATCCCGCCACTGTGCCTGAGTCGTTGACGCAGGGCCTCTTAGAAGCTTCGTGGGCCCTCTTGGGTGCATCTTGAACGCCTCTTGGGGGCATCTTGGGGGAGCTCTGGGCGGTCTCGGATGCGGTTTTGTAGGGAAAGAACTCGAATGTCAGCTCGTGTTCCACCCATTGGGCTTCTCTTGGGGCCATCTTGGGAATCTCTGGGACCCTGCTGGGGCCTCGGAAACCGTCTTGGGACGACTTTGGGGGCAGATTGAGCAGTCTTTGACGCTCGTCAGACCGAAAAGGCGAGTGTGTGTGTGTGAGAAACATGCACAGAAGACTGGAGGTTGTTCGATTATGTTGGCCTCTTGGGCCGGCCCCAGGGCCTCCACGATTCGGGTGTTGCTAGAAGTACCCCTGGCCCACGGTACCTACAGGATTCTCGGGGTGGCTCCGACGGCCTCCAGGGCACCCCTCACGAGGCCCAGAGGGCCCCAGGGGTTCCAAAATGGAGCGAAAAGCTGGGGGCACCTTGGGCCAGGGGCACTTCTAGCAACACCCGAACGATGGCCGAAGAGGTTCCCGAGAGGGCTCCAGCACGGGCCCCGCGGGACCATCGCAGGCCATAATGGATGTGTGGATCTCAAACCACACGCCCAAGGCATCTGGAAGAGGCATGCGGCTAGCCCCAAGAGCCAGTGAGCTTAGGGTCTGGAGCTTCAGGACACTCCATTAAGTGCCTCGCGGTGGGTGGCGAACATGTGTGTAAATATGAATACATGTACACACATCTTCATGTGTATCTATACATTTACGATGGCATATGCACATAAAGAGACATACCGATATGCTTGTTTATATCAGCATAACGTTAATTGGACATACGCATCACGAAGACGCCTATACGGCGAGCCAGTGCCGCCCCCTGCCTCTGGACACGCCTATCTGGCCACCCGTTGTACCAAAGTTTGGCCGAGCTATTGGACCACGTGTACGTGTTCCCCCAGGCGTTGTCGAACCCCTTTGGGGGAACACTTGGGACCAGGAAGAGAAGGGAGGGAGAGTGGGAGGAGAGGGAGAAGGAGGAGGAGGAGGAGGAGGAAGCGGAAGAGGAGACATCTCGAGCTTCTTTTGGGGCCTCCTGACGGCTTCATGGGAGGCTCTTGGGGGGCCCTGAAGGCTCACTGAGGGCCTCTTAAGGGGGCCGCTTGGGAGCCTCTTGGGGCCCTCTGGGGGCCTCTAGGAAAGGTCTGAGCCGTCGGAGGCCGTCTTGGGGGTACCCCTGGGCAGTCGTGGTTCTCTCTTTTGGCGCTCTGGGGCAGTGTTGGAGGTCTGTGGGACCGTCTTAGGGCCGTTTTGAGGGTCTCTTGGTCCGCCTTGGGGCTGTTGGGTACTCTCGGAGGCCTCTTGGGCCATCTTGGGGCGATCTTGTGTCCCTGTGGGGGGCCTTCTTGGGGCGTCTTGCGGCCCTCTTGACCCGTCTTGGACACCTCTCGGGGCCTTCTTGTGCGCCCTTTGGCCTATTCTTGGGCGACCTGTCGCGGAGGCTCGAAGAACCGAAAAGGTGAGAATCTGAAATTCGTGCCAACACCGTTTTGGATAATCAGTGCTGTTTGCCTCTCGGGAGCCTCCCTTTCGCCGTCCTTGGAGCCTGTTGTGCCGTCCTGTGGCCCATCTTGGGGCCATCTTTCAATGTCCTTGGTCCGTCTCGGCAGTCTGGGGGGCCTATTTAGGGTCTCCTGGGGCCTTCGTGGGCCCTCCATGGGCTGCTGTGGGACTATCTGGGGCGGTTTGGGGTACACCCGGGGCGTTCGCGACCCGTCACTGGTCGGGGGCCGGTTCTATACGGACATCTGCTCTTCTCCATGTAAAGATGGGTTGCTTCGCGAATCCCCACCAGCCCATCCAGAAACGATGCCCAGAGGAATAGCCTCGATCAGGGAAGTGGGCAGCACACAGAGGAAGCCATTATGAGACATCTTGGGATATCTTGAGCCATCTTGGAGGTCATCTTGGGCTCTCCCAGGCGCTCTTGGAGTCATCTTAATCAGTGCCCCCCCCCAAGAGGCCAACATGTGGCTAAAACCTTGGTAAATCAATGATTTGGCATTCTCGCCGAGGCCTCTTGGAGCATCTTGGGTGCCTCTGGAGGGTCTTTTGGGGCCTCTTGGGGGTCTCTTGGGAGCCTCTTGGGGGCATCCTGGGGGCCTCTTGGGGCTTCCTGGCCACCTCTTGGGGCCCTCTTGGGGCACCCTTGGGAGCCTTGGGGGCCATCTTTGGGCCATCTTGGGTGAGATCGATCACAGGAGGGGGGGTACTCATTAGCGTCCCCCCCCAGGAGGCCAAAATGGGGCCAAAAACATGTATCACACATGATTTTTGCTTCCTCGCCGAGGCCGTTTTGGACGCTCCGACACCTCGCGGAACCCCCTGTCCAGGTCCAGGGGAGGGGGGAGGGGGAGGGGTAAACCCCTCCCCGAAGGGGAAGACGGAGAGGTGGAAGAGGAAACTCTCTAAACCACCGACGCCCAGAGGGCTGGTGGGATTTGGGCTCAGCGTGTCTCTCCGCCGGTTCTGACCCACCGCGCCTTCGGCGCGACGCGCTATCCGCGTGCACGGCACAGCGTGTCGCCAGGGCCAGCGCCGCGACACTCTGTGCAAAAATCCCTGGCGGTAGCTGAGTTGCCTGCGTCAGTAAAGGCCCTCCCCCCGTCCTCGCTCCCTCCCTCCCTGCTAGGGGCCGGGAATGCCGCCACAGCTCGGCGGCGAGCGAGGGGGGGAAGTCAGAGGGAGGAGGCCTTCTCAGAAGGCGGCGGGGCTCCTCAGAAGCCCTCTGGCCTTCTGAGAAGTTTTCTGCGTCTTCGGGGAAGGCTCAGAAGACTTCTCAGAAGGCCCGAGGCCTTCCGAGCCCCCTGAGAAGGGCCGCCCCCTCTCACTTGCCCCCTGGGCTCGGCTCGGTGCCTGTTGCTGTGGTGGGAGGTGGAGCCTCTGTCCTCCACGCTGGATCTACGAGAAGTACTTAGAATGTTCTGTGGATCTCGGAGCATCCTACGCATTCGACGGACAAATCCATGTTGGGGTAAATCAATTATGTAGTCGATTCCCTACTTGCACCCTGGGCTCGCCGCCGAGTGGCCGCGCCGAGAGAGCTCGAGTAGGGGATCGACTACAGAATTCATTGACCCCACGATTGATTTCCCCGCCGAGTCATGCGCATAGTGTTTGTAGATTTACGAACAGTCTGCGCGTTTCTCATGGTTGCGGCGAACAAATCAAAATTCTGTGGTAACTCAGTGCAGTAGTCGATCCCCGTACGCGAAGAATGGAGGAGAGGAGCTCGGGGGCGCCGTCGCGCGGGGGGGGGGCGCGACGGGCCGCCGACTTCGAGGGCTCGGCATCTCCCACAGGGCGTTGGGCATACAGGCCGCCGAGACTTGGCCGCGCCGAGAGGGCGGAGGCGAGGAGCGCACGGGGAGCGCAGTCCCGGGGGGAGCGCGCGCCCTGCCCGCCCGCGCCCGGGGCGAAGGACGCCCGAGCACGGCGTGACGGCGCCGACCGCGGGGCGGGCGGCGGGGGGGAGGGGCTGTCGGGGAGGAGGGGGGGGCTGCTCCTCCTCCTCCTCCTCCTCCTCCTCCTCCTCCTCCTCCTCCTGCTGTCCTCCTCCTCCTCCTCCTCCTCCTCCTCCTCCTCCTCCTCCTCCTCCTCCTCCTCCTCCTCCTCCTCCTCCTCTTCCTCGCCCAGACTCGAGTGGTGTACAACAGGTTCGAGGTCGTGAGGGACGGCCTGGCGGAGGAGCAGGAGGCCACGGGCAGGGCGTACGACGTGCAGTCCAAGGTGTTGCAAGACAAGGTGGCAAACGGAGAGACGGTCAACTTCGAGGAGGGGGGCCTACGCCATGTGGCGGTCTTTGCGGCGTCGGTCAAACTGTGGGGAACGGAAGGCAAGCTGAGCAACAAGGAGCTGACGAAGGGCTTCGCGGCTTTGTGGAGCGACGTGGTGATGACTCGCTCTCCACAGCAGCTGGCAGCTTTGGTGCCATACTTCCGATGGGAGGTGAACAAGGGCAAGCCCGACAAGGGCAAGGGCAAGGGCACGGGCGGCAGCACGCAGGAGCAGCAGGAGCAGCAGCAGCAGCGACGAAGGAACGGATCGTGTACGCGGTGGAGCTGTCTCGCATGCACGGACAGAGGTCGGCGGCGCTGCTCGGCGAGGCAATGGCGGACATCAAGGGGGTGTACAAGGCGGGAGCGGCCCCTCCTGGCCCCCTGCATCGGGCCCCCTCGAAGATGACCAGCGAGATGTAGAATATTGTGGCCCAGGACACAGAGCACTTGAGGTGAGAAGCTCGTTGGATTTCGCGGCGCCTGCCAGTCCGAATTTCTCAGTCCCGGGGTCGACGATGGATTGGTCTCGGAGCGTGAGGTTTCAACAGTGGTTGGCGGCCGGCAGGCCACCTTCCCCCGAGACCCCCGCAGACCCCTCATCCGACCTCGGTCCCTACATGTAATCTTCCCAGACAGGCGCCACGTGGGCGCGGCTGGTGTCCCTGCGGGAGACAGTCGGGTCCTCAGCCCCCTCGGAGGCCCCCCTCTGGGCCAAATGCCCGTGGTGAGAGGCCTGCCTCCTCGCGGTGCGGTGCGTCAGGGGGCTGGACCGGATCGAGTGTCGTGGCGCCCGCCTGGTAGCTAGCTAGGCGGTCCTGGCCCTTGGGGCTCCGTCGCGTTGGCCCTGGGGGGGGCGCTTTCGGCCCTTGATCGGGCCCACCTCCACGACGCGCGCACGGCCCTCGCGCTTTTGAAACGGCGTCTTTAAAGGGTTCCGCCCCTCAGGATCCAGGCTGTTCTTCATTCTTTGTGGATGCCTTGCGAAGCTGACAAGGGATCCCACGAGCATGTCTGTCTGTCTGTCTCGTTCTCCTCCTTCTCCTCCTCCTCCTCCTCCTCCTCCTCCTCCTCGCCCTCCTCCTCCTCCTCCTCCCCCTTCGGGCTGCTTCTCCCGTCTTGACATCGCCCGGACGTGTGCATCTTATCTCGGCGAGGACCATCGAGGAGCATCCTGGATTTTTGGAAACAGACACCCACGAGACCGAACAATGCATGGGACGTGCACGTCCGAGCGATGGCAAGCCTTCGCGGAGCAAGCGATGACATAAACATGAAAATTCGAAGGTCCGCGCAGATTTCTCGGATCGGCGCCGGGCCCCCGTGGCGGCGCTTCCAGCACCGCCCTTAGCGCGCTCCGCGCGCAAGGGAGATGCGTCCGGCGCAGATCCGGGAAAACCTTGCGGATCTCCGAGGTTCGATGCTTATGTCATTGTGTGTTTCCCTCCCTCCTTCCTAGCTTTCCCCTTCCCTCCTCTTCCTGATGACCCCTCTACATCCACATCATCATCAGCATAATCATCATGATCATGTTCAATGTCATTATCATCAGCATCAGCAGCAACGTCCTAATCACCATCATCATCATCTTCAGCATCATCACCACCACCATCATCATCGTCAGCATCGCCACCATTATCAGCATCATCATCATCATCGGCATCAATATCATCATCGGTATCATCATCATCGCCATCGTTCTCGTTATCGTCATCGTCGACATCAGCATAATCATAATCATAATCAGAGTCGTAATCAGCATCAGCATCCGCATCACTATCAACATCAACATCCGCATCGCCACCATTATCATCATCATCATCCTCATCGTCGCCAGCATCATCGTTACCATCGCCATTAGCAAAATCACCATCGCCATCGACATCACCATCATCATCCCCATCACCATCCATATCATCATCATCATCATCATCATCATCATCATCATCATCATCATCATCATCATCATCATCATCATCATCACCATCACCATCACCATCACCATCACCATCACCATTACCATCATCATCATCATCATCAGCGGCAGCACCGCCATCGTCGCCTACATCGTCAGAACCAGCCTCATCACCAGCAGCACCACCTCATCATCATAGTCAGCAGCAGCATATTCATCATTCGCATCACCATCATCATCTTCATCAGGGTCATTATCATCATCGTCATCATCATGGTCATCAGCATCATCATCACCATTATCAGCAGCATCATCATCAGCTTCTCGAATTCCGTAGGACCACCTGGAGATTCGCTTCTCTCTCAATTGGGCCCCCTTGTTATTGCCATTGACACATCCGTGCGAGCATCCACGGAGGGGGGAGGAGCAGATCGAGGCGGAGGCTGAGGCGGAGGAGAAGGAAGAGGAGGAGGAGGTGGAGAGGAAGAGTAGAAGGACATGTGGATGAGGATGAGGAGGAGGAGGAGGAGGAGGAGGAGGAGGAGGAGGAAGAAGAACGGGATGATGAGGAGCAGGATGAGTAAAAGGAGGAACATAAGGCTCATGACGAGGAGGAGGACCAGGACCAGTGTAAACCCAAGACGCATCAACGATGTTGCAATCAACCATCCCTCCAAGTTCTCTGATCGTAGGTCCCTACACGAGTTTGCTTTCATTGCTGGAAGTGGCAGGTTAGAATGCAACCATCTGAGAACCTTCAACCTCGCCAAAACACATCGCTTGGGACCTCAACGCCGCGGATCAACGTGAGCGTTGCGTCCTGACAACCCGAATTCGTGTGAGAACATGATTCCTGGGAGTTCAACACCGCGAATGAACGTGAGTGTTGCGGCCTGACGATCCTCAGCAGTGCCAGACATCGCTTGAACCATACGGGTTCTTGAAGCAGTCGCAACAAGTCAAGACGAACGCGCGCGGCGCTGGGGCGAGAGCCAAATATTCGAAAAGGAACCGCCCTCCGTCCCCCTAACTGTTGGACACGTCTTAGACGAATGCGCGCGGCGCTAAGGCGAGACCTACATTTTTGAAACGACCCGCCCTCCATCCTCGGCGCGCTGCTACAAACGTTTAAGACGAATGTGCGCGGCGCTGAGGCATTAGCAACAGTTTGAACGCGGACCGCCTTCCACCCATGAAAGTGCTGCAAACATGTTAAGGCGCATGTACGCGGTGCTAAGACGAGGGCCATATCTTAAAAGCCACCGACACTCCACCCTTGAAATTGTTGCAACTTGTCATATCCAGTGCCGCACCTGGTGAGAACATCTCAGGCGAACCATCCAGCCCGCCCTACCAACACGTTTGGGGGTGCGACAGGGGGGAGTTGTTCTTAAGGAACATGGATGAAGGGAAAGGTGGAGGGGGAGAGGGACGAGGAGGAGGAGGAGGCGACGGCGGAGGAGGAGGAGGTCTTCTTCTCCCGCTCCTCCTCCGTCTCCTTCTCCTCCCTCTTCCCTCCTCGTCCTCCCTCCCCCTCCCTCCTCCCTCAAGCCCTCCCTCCTGCCCCCCTCCTAAGGAGGTGGGCCTGGGAGCGGCACCTCTGCCCCAAGGTTGGGTCGGGGAGGCCTCGCGCCACGCTGGACTTGTCGGCGGAGCCGCCGAACGGACACAGGCCCCTGTTGGGCAGACGCTGGAGGACGGAGGTAGCATGCTACTCTTCCTGCATCTCCCCCTCCTCTGCCTCCATCTCCGCCGCCTCCATCTCCTCCGCCTCCATCTCCTCCGCCTCCTGCTCCTGCTCCGTCACTCCTCCTCCATCGCTCCTCCTCCATATGTCTTTCTGCCGTCTAGCTTCGTAATCGGAAGACCGTGGCAACAAACCATCATCCTTTCGCGGCGCCCGCCGCCTCCGTCAACATGCGTGTGTATGTACAGACGTATATACATATTAGTATGCACGTGATTCCGTAGTAGCCCGCAATTGCGGATCAGAGTAAGGGAGCGGGCGGTTGTGTCGTAGGATTGGTCGCGGGAAGGCCGCGGGTGGGCAACGGGGGAGACGACGACAACAGTAAAAAATCAACAACGCAAAGCAACACAACTGACAACCATACTACCAACCGCGACAACAACAGCAACAGCAGCAATAACAACAGCAACAACACCAACCACGACATCATCAACAACAGCAGCAACAACAACAACCCAGCGCAACCACACTAGCAGCACCAACAACATCACCAACAACAACACCAACAACAGCAGCAATAACAACACCAACAGCAGCAACAACAACCTCAGCCGCAACAGCAACACCATCAACAACAACAGCAACAACATCTACAGCAGCAACAACAGTAATATCCTCAGCACGAACAATAATCAGCGCAGCGGAATCGCACTTCAGCCACGCACCCAGGGACAATCAACGCATGTTCGGCCCCACTCATTCGTACAGACACACGAACTCACACATACATATAGAGAGAGAGAGAATATGCATATACATGTATACACATCGATGTATGTATACATGTATGAATGTAAGTAAGTAAGTACACATGTTTGTTTGTTTGTATGTATGGATGGATGGATGGATGGATGTATGTGTCTTTGTATTGATCGTTTTTACATACACAGCTGTGTAAATATATATATATATACACATATATGTCGGCGGTGCCCGGTGCGGAGCGAGACCCCCCCCCCCGGTAATCTCTCCTGGGGGGGTTCGAGCTGGCGCCATTCCCGGTGCGAGCCTGCACGAACCCCCCCGGTAAACACGACCTCCTCTGGTAGGCTGCACGAAACCCCCCGGTAAGGACGCAACCCCTCCGTAAGCGGCGCGCTCCCAGCACGCGCGAAACCCAGCCCCGACGCGCGAATCTTACCAGGACGGGCCGGAACACGGCGGCGGCATTGCATCCCAGGGCCGTGCCGGAACACGGCGGCACTGTTCTTCTCTACGCGGCCGTGCCGTCGACCCCCCACAGCGGCTCTCGGGATTTGCGCCGCAGCCTCTCGTATTGTGACCACGAGCCACAATACGAGAGGCTGCGGCGGAACAAAGGCGAGCAGACGCGAATAAAGAACACAAGGCGAGCACACGCCACACTTCGACAGGGAGCCACCCTTCCCAACCGCCCCCCTGCCCCCCCCCCAACCCACCCCCCACTCCCACCCCCCCACTCCCACAGGGGGGGGGGGAGCCCAGGTAGACGCAGTGCGGCCTGCACGAAACCCCCCGGTAAAGCGGCAAGGGGGGGGTGTTCTAAGCCGCTGGCGGCACCCGGTGCGGGCTGCACGAAACCCCCCGGTAGTGCACGAAACCCCCCGGTAGTGCTGGGGGGGGGGTTCGTGCCACGGCGCACCGCCGACATATATGTATAAGTATATATATACACATTATAACACATATTGTATATTACATTACACAATGTCTTATATATGTGTATATATATATATATATATATATATATATGTATGGAGGGGACGGAACCACGGCCACGGCGTGGCATGGGGGGCCCGGGCGGCCCAAGGGTTCCCGGGCGGGGCCCTGAGGATTCTCGGACGGGTCCAGAGGCCGCAAGGACTGGCTCGAGACCGCCCCAGACCCCCCGCGAGCTCTCCACGACGCGCCAACATGGCTTCAAGAAGAGCCAAGGACCCCCCACGACGCTCAAAGAGGGTTCAATAAAGTCCCCCCAGAGGGCCCCAAGAAGCCAGTCCATGAGGGCCTCCCAGAGGGCCCCAAGAAGCCCGAATCGTCCCATTCCCGAAGGAAAACGTCCATTTCAGCATATACGACTGTCGGGCTTCCACAGCGTCCTCGACGGCCCAAACGGCCCCCCAAACTGCCCCAAGACGGCCCAAAAGGCCTACAAGAGAGTCCCAAAACGGCCCCAGAGAGCCCCAAGACTGCCCAAGAAGCGCCCAAGACGGCCAGCAGAAGGCCACAAGAGGGCTTCAAGAGTGCTCGAGAGAGCCCCTCAGACCGCCAGCAGGCCCCAAGAGGGCCCCCAGAGGCCCCCAGAGGCCCCAAGAGGCTCCCAAACAGCCCGTACAGAGGCCCCAAGAGGCGCCCAGACAGGCCCGAACAGGGCCCAAAGAGGTTTCAAAGCTGTTGTCAAAGGAACCACAGAGGTTCCCCAAGTTCCCCCACAATATACCCCACAAATCTTGGCTGCAGCGGTCCTTCATGTGTGGATGTATGGGTTCATATATCATGCAGGCGGGGTTGAGCGTCTTCAGACCGGAACCACGGATTCGCATGGAGAGTCTGAACAGCCTTTCGCGGCCCCGGAGATTCTTGGACAGCCTCACGGAGAACCTCGAAGTCGCCAAGATGGCCCCAGATGGCCCCAGGCAGCCTCAGACAGCCGAACATAGCCCCCAAGACGCCCCAAGATTGCACCGAGTGCCCCCTGGATGCTCCAAGAGGCTCCCAAGAGGCTCCCAAGAAGCATCTTCGGAGTCCCCCGGAGTCCGACATCTATCAAAAATCTACGCAACACGATAGTTGTTGACTTCTGGCCTCTTCGCCGTCGATGGGCTTTTGGGGTCTCCAGGTCGCCACCAAGAGGCTTCCAGGGGATTCCAAGTCGCATCCAACAATTTACCGAGAGGATCCGCCAACCTTCGCACCCAATCTTCGCACCCTTTCCTTTTCTCTTTCGTCGAAGTTGCGGTTATCAAGCAGTCCCGCGACCGCTTTGAACCTGGAAACACCCCCCGAAGACCTCGCACACTTTGAGAGCAAGGTGATGCACACGCGGGGCCCTCTCCCCTAGCACCCTGGACTTCACGCGATGCGTACTCACAGCGTCTTCGGAGACGAGAAGAACCTAAGCGCGCGCGTAGCGCGCACGTGGTACTAGTGTGTGGGTATATACATATATGGTCGTCCCACCCCAGCACCCCCCAAACCACCAAAACCACAAATCCATCATTGATCGTTTGCTCCTCATCCTCCTCCTCTTCATCCTTCTCCTCTTCCTCCTCCACACATGATCATACATCTTATTCTATGCATCCCATATCACTTCTTCCATGCATATGATCACCAACACCCTTCTCTCTGCCTCCCAAAATCAAAAAAGTGTTTGGCGCCCTCGATGCAAGGAAACGCTGTGTATGTTTAGTGTTTTTTTAGTTTTTGAATCAACGAAACACTGTGTATGTTTTTTCTGTTTGTTGTTTTGGTGGTGCAAGCCCCCATGCTCGCCGCGGCCTCCCTACCAGCACCTTTCTCTCTGCCTCCCAAAAACAAAAAAAATGCACAGTGTTCGTTGTTTCACAGTCCCCAAAAACCTAACAAACCAAACATACACAGCATTTCCTTGCATCGATGGTATGTTTGGTTTTTCTTTGTTTTGGGAGGCAGAGAGAGGGGTGCTGAGAGGGAGGACGCGGTGAGCATTGGGCCTTGCAAAACTAAAGAACACACAGTATTTCGTTGTTTCACAGACTCCCAAACAAATAAGCAGTGTTTCGTTGTTTCACAGACCGGCGCAATGCTCACCGCGCCCTCCCTCTCAGCACCCCTCTCTCTGCCTCCCAAAGCAAAGAACAACCAAACATACACAGTGTTTGGCGCCCTCGATGCAAGGAAATGCTGTGTATGTTTGCTTTTCTTGGTTTTTTGGGTCTGTGAAAGAACGGAACACTGTGGTTTTTGGTTTTGGGAGGCAGAGAGAAGGGTGCTGGTAGGGAGGCCGCGGCGAGCATGGGGGCTTGCAAAACCAAAAAAGACAAAAACAAAAAAACACAGTGTTTCGTTTTTTTGTTCACAGGCCAAAAAAACCCAACAAACCAAAAATACAGCATTTCCTTGCATCGAGGGCGCCAAACACTGTGTATGGTTGGTTTTTCTTTGTTTTGGGAGGCAGAGAGAGGGGTGCTGAGAGGGAGGACGCGGTGAGCATAGGGCCTTGCAAAACTAAAGAACACACAGTGTTTCGTTGTTTCATAGACCCCCCAAAAATTACCCTGGCGACGTACCCAACCCCTGCGCAAAAGCGGGGCGCAAATAGTTTAGGATACTTTATAAGGGGGCGATGACGGAGCGAGGGTTACATATGTCTGCAGACGGAATTCGGGAGACTCGCAGGACACTGGCTACAGGAAAAGGGCTTGATAAAGCTGATGATTTACAATTCCTGAGCACTCCTAGCCACTTCGAAAACGGGGATCACAGCAGGCCTCGAAAGTGGCGACAGGTTCACAGATCGCAGCCCCGCAGGGATGGCGAGGTCTCATTTGAATCTGCCCGTGGCCCTCACTGTGCTGGGCCCCCCAGCAGGCCTCGAAAATGGCGGCAGTTTCGCAGATCGCAGCCCCCCAGGGATGGCGAGGTCTAATTTGAATCCGCGCGTGGCCCTCACTGTGCTGGGCCCCCCAGCAGGCCTCGAAAATGGCGACAGTTTCGCAGATCGCAGCCCCCCAGGGATGGCGAGGTCTAATTTGAATCCGCGCGTGGCCCTCACTGTGCTGGGCCCCCCAGCAGGCCTCGAAAATGGCGACAGTTTCGCAGATCGCAGCCCCCCAGGGATGGCGAGGTCTAATTTGAATCCGCGCGTGGCCCTCACTGTGCTGGGCCCCCCAGCAGGCCTCGAAAATGGCGACAGTTTCGCAGATCGCAGCCCCCCAGGGATGGCGAGGTCTAATTTGAATCCGCGCGTGGCCCTCACTGTGCTGGGCCCCCCAGCAGGCCTCGAAAATGGCGACAGTTTCGCAGATCGCAGCCCCCCAGGGATGGCGAGGTCTAATTTGAATCCGCGCGTGGCCCTCACTGTGCTGGGCCCCCCAGCAGGCCTCGAAAATGGCGACAGTTTCGCAGATCGCAGCCCCCCAGGGATGGCGAGGTCTAATTTGAATCCGCGCGTGGCCCTCACTGTGCTGGGCCCCCCAGCAGGCCTCGAAAATGGCGACAGTTTCGCAGATCGCAGCCCCCCAGGGATGGCGAGGTCTAATTTGAATCCGCGCGTGGCCCTCACTGTGCTGGGCCCCCCAGCAGGCCTCGAAAATGGCGACAGTTTCGCAGATCGCAGCCCCCCAGGGATGGCGAGGTCTAATTTGAATCTGCCGCGATTGGCCCTCTATGCTGGACCCCCCAGCAGGCCTCGAAAGTGGCGACAGTTTCACAGATCGCAGCCCCCCAGGGAGGGCGAGGTCTAATTTGGATCTGCCGCGATTACCCTCTATGCTGGACCCCCCAGCAGGCCTCGAAACTGGCGACAGTTTCACAGATCGCAGCCCCCCAGGGATGGCGAGGTCTAATTCGAATCTGCCGCGATTACCCTCTATGCAGGACCCCCCAGCAGGCCTCGAAAGTGGCGACAGTTTCACAGATCGCAGCCCCCCAGGGATGGCGAGGTCTAATTTGAATCCGCCGCGATTACCCTCTATGCAGGACCCCCCAGCAGGCCTCGAAAGTGGCGACAGTTTCACAGATCGCAGCCCCCCAGGGATGGCGAGGTCTAATTTGAATCCGCCGCGATTACCCTCTATGCAGGACCCCCCAGCAGGCCTCGAAAGTGGCGACAGTTTCACAGATCGCAGCCCCCCAGGGATGGCGAGGTCTAATTTGAATCCGCCGCGATTACCCTCTATGCAGGACCCCCCAGCAGGCCTCGAAAGTGGCGACAGTTTCACAGATCGCAGCCCCCCAGGGATGGCGAGGTCTAATTTGAATCCGCCGCGATTACCCTCTATGCAGGACCCCCCAGCAGGCCTCGAAACTGGCGACAGTTTCACAGATCGCAGCCCCCCGCAGGCAAGACAGAAAGAGGCAGGAAAGAGGCGGGAGGCGGTTGGAGGAAGGACGCGACCACACTGCTCTATTCAAAACGAATACCCAACCAAGGAGGGTTGGGAAATAAACAGTGTTTCGTTGTTTCACAGACCCGAAAATAATAAGGAACGCAGGATGAAGATCATGACAGGGAGAAGGGAAAAGAGTATCATGAGAGGGAGCAGGAGGAAGATGAGCAGGAGGAGGAAGAGAAAGATGATGAGGAGGATGCCCCTCCCCCCCCAGGCTGTCGTTGGGGGGTGCTTGTGTGGGGGGGGTTAGCATATGTGTGTATATATATATATAAGCAGGTGAACACATCTGCGTACATATGTGGCATCCTCCGTTCTTTTTTGCGCTACCCCTCCTTACTTTGATCCCGCCTCCTGCTCACTCCTCTCCCGTGTACCTATTTCCCCCTCTTCTTGCTCATACCTCGATCCGTGCCTCGGCACGGCAGGCGCGCGTCGCGTCGACGCGGCTTGGGAACCCGGCGCGTGCGCTGGAGGGGGAACGCCCCGAGTGGCCCAGAATCTCCAGACATCGGCAGGCCTGCGCGGTCGGAAGGCCGCAGCTTAGCATCCCACGGACGGGTGCACTCTTCGCGGCGAGGCCAGCGCCAGAAAGTCTGGACCACACGGGAGCACCTTGGGTCATCTGGAGGAAAAACACGCACGACACCAAACAATACATGGGGAATGGACGTCCCATCGATGGCAGGGCGATCGTTCAAGATCGAGCGATCCACGCGGTGTCAGAAGCCAAGGCAAGGGTCGTCACGACACGAACACGCCGTACGTACTGCCATGCCTCTCGACTCATCCGTCCCTCCTCCAACCCACTGCCTGTGGCCGAAACCGGTGCTCAACAAGAGAGGGCACGCGGCAGTATGACATAAGTCTTCACGTTTCGCGTATCCCCACCAGGTTTCCTGCTGCCTAGTCGCGGCCCGACAAGTGTTCGGACGGCTTTCGACCCGCCTCGCGAGCCTGTTGACCAAAAGTATCCCCACCAGAGGCTGTAATTTAGGTCGTTGCTAGTTGGCAATCTCCTGACGGCGCGCGGCTTCTCCGCTTGCGCTCGCTAATGGAAAAAAGTATCCCCACCAGCCCATTCAGAAACCCAGAACATAAGAGTTGATGGGAAAAAGGGCAAAGGAACACGTACAGTGCAACAAAGCGGGCAACCAGGGTGAACAGACAGAGAGACTTTTGGGAGCAAGGGGGTGGCCTTGGAGGGTCTCTTCGGGCCATCCTTGGGGCCTGCGTGGGGGCGAGGGAAGGAGGCGGAGGAGGAGGAGAAGGAGGAGGAGGACGACGACGACGACGACCACGACCACGACGACGACGACGACGACGATGATAACCACGACCACGACCACGACGACCACGACCACGACCACGACTACGACAACGAGAAAGAAAAGAAAACGGAAAAGGAAGTTGATGAGGGCAAGGACGAGGACGAGGAAGAGGAGGAGGAGGAGGAGGAGGAGGAGGAGGAGGACAACGAGGACGAGGACAGAGCCAACGAGGACGAGGTCAGAGCCCTCAAATCGCCTCTTGGAGCCCTCTTGGGACTGTTTCGGGAGATCTTGGGGTCCTCTTTGAGCTCTTTGGGGGGGTCTTGGGGCCCTCTTGGGGTCCTCTTGGAGCCTTCTTGGGGGTCTCTTAAGAGCTTTGAAAGGCCTCATGGGGTCAGCATGGCGCCATCTTGAGGCCTCGTGCGAACCCACCCCATTTCCTGCCCAGCTGCTGCTTCCGACTGCAACCGAGGGCATCGGAAGAAGGAAGCAGCGATCGCACCGCTGCCATTCGCGTTGGGACACAGTCCAGCTGGCCCCGTCCTCGAGGCAACCACTGCCCCAGGGCAGGAATGAGCCGTGGCTGTCGCACTCCCAGCCCTCTTCTGCCGGCCTTCCCCCCCTGCGCCCTCTGCCCCTTAGTGTCGAATCCGCCCTTCCTCCCCGGACATTTGATGTCTCGATCTGTTCAATACGCAGTCCGGGGAAGTGCTGATACATTATCAAGGGCAGTTGTTTCATCCTCAGTTGTTTTGTTGGCGGTGCTGCCCCCCGGAGGCCGACAACTATGAAAACAGCGTCGTCTCGTTTTTCCAGTGCGTTGGACGTCTGGGCCTCTTCGTCCTCATCCTCGGCCCGTCTCCTCGTCACCATCGCCCTCCCGCTCCCCCCCCCCTATCGTCCCCTTCTGGGCGCGGCCCCTCCCGCAGCCAGGGCTGGGCTGCTCGCTCGCTCGCGCCCCACAGCCGCTTTGGCCCAGGCTTCCACGGGCCCCAGATGGGATGGCCTCCGCGGGGGAGGACCGGAGAGCGTCAACCCACCCCCCGCGCCGACCTTCGCTGGGTCGACCCTGCGCCCACGGGGGGGGGGGGGGGGGGGGACAGCAGGCCTCCAAGGCCGATCCAGGAGCGCGTGCGCCTTGGCACCGCTCGGACGCGTGCAGTGTTTCCCTCGGCGAGAACCAGTTCGAGGAGCCTCCAGGACCCTCGTGCGGAAAAGAAAGGCACGACCATCCGAGGAGTGCACGTGGAAGGGACGTCCGAGCGATGGCAAGGCACCGGGATGCTGGACACGCGTGATGTCCCTGAGATCTTGGCGACTCATTTTTTTCGAGCCAGGCGTTTTCGCCCAGTTTCGGGCCCCAGGACCCTCACGGATGGATCCGGTTCGAAACGTGACGCAGAAGGATGGGGTCTAGGGCTCCGAGCGAGATTTTTTACAATGTTGTAAATTTTGCTGCGTCGGATCTTCGGGGACGAGAAATCATAGATTTCTCACGATGTCTCAATTCGTTCGAGACGTCGGATCTCAGGTGTGGCCGGCCTGGGCGAGGGCTGCCTGCGCACCTGGCCGCAGCAGGCGTCTCCATCGCGCTCGGCCCTCCGCGCGCTCCGCCCCGCGGCGTGGATCCAGCCGTGTGCGTTCCTGGCAGCCTGGCGCGCCGATCCCGGGCCCAGGTCGTGGAGGGCTTGACGACGTCTGACGTTCCTCGACTCGCGCTGGGGCGGTCGCGATTTGCTCCAACTTTCCCTTGGGATCCCTGGATCTACCTGGATTTACCCAGATATGCCTGGACTTACGTCGGTCCCTCTGCAACTACCTGGCTCTATCTGGGTCGATCCCCACAAGTCGGTTGGCGAAAAGTCGCCAAGCCCTTCGAGCCCAGGACGGCGGCCTGGCCAGTCGGGCGGGTGGTAATGGGAGTGACCGAAATTGGGGGGGAAGAGAAGGGCCCCTTTCGGGCCCTTTTCTTCACCCCCCTCCTTCAAGTCACTCCCCATCACCACCCGCCCGCGCCAGGGTCGGGGCCAGGACGAGGACAACTCCGTTCCGTAGCGTTCCAGCGAACGCTCTCAGAGCGTTCTCTGGAGCGCTCTGAGAAGGCCAGGGCGCCTGGGCCATCCTCCGGAGCCGCCAGATCTAGAAGAGTCTGGATTTGTCCTCCCCAGAGATCCGACGTAGCGAAAGAAATACAACATTGTAGAAAGTCACGCCCAGAGCCCCAGACCCCATATTTCGGCGTCATGTTTCGAGCCAGATCGATCCGCAAGAGTCCCGGGGCCCGCACAAAAGAAAAACGAAAAATCGCCCTGGTCGAAAGCATCGAGTCGCCAAGATCTCAGGGATCTGTCCTTACCCGAAGATCTCCTTGTCCGGGCTTCGTCCTAGGACCGGCGGGCGCCCCCCGCCGACATTATGAGCAAAATCTCTGGGGACGTTTTTTTGATTTTTGTTTGACTATGTTTGAGCATGTTTGGCCTCTTAAAAAAACTGTCGTCCAAAATGCGCCTGTAGGAGGACATGCCCGACCTGAATCTAGTCCGTACGGCCGCCCCGTCAGATATGGGATGACGTTCGCGCGGCGACGTTCCGACGTAATTCCGACGTAAATCCGACGTGGATCCCACGTTCATCCGACGCAATCCGTCCTGAACCTGGCGCACATCCGACGTGGATCCGACGTCCGCTGGGTTTCGGGGTCGTGACGCCGAGAGGAGCCGTCGTGGCCGCTGGTCGGCGAGGCCCGGCTCGGCGGCGTGGCGCGCGCGCGCAGGCCTGCGCGGCCCGGCGCGCGCTGGCGGGCCGCGGCCTGGTGCCCCGCGGTCGCGCTGCTGGCGTGCACGGGCGCGGGCCTCGCGGCCTGGCGCTCGCCGCGCACGGGGGCGGCCGGCGTCCAGGACAGCATCCCCTCACAGGGGCCCCGAAAGGAGCCCCTCGCGGGCCCGATCCCGAATGTTTTGGCCCTCCGAACCTTCGATCCCCTCCCAAAGGGTTCGGGGTAGATGTTTTTTTTGTATCAAGGTGCCACTGGCCCGAGGTGCCCCTCTCTGAGCCCCCGGGCCGCCCGGGCCCCTCTGGGGCCTCGTGGGCGGCGCTCTGGAGGCCGTGGGAGCTCCTTGGAAATCCTGGGGGCACCGCGGGCCAGCCCTGAGATCCTGGCGACCCCATTTTTCCGAGCCGGGCGTTTTCGCCCAATTTCGGGCCCCGGGACACACACAGGCGGATGCTGCTCGAAAAATGACCAGAAAGATTGAGTTCTGGGCTCAAGTCGTGATTTTTCGCGATGTTTCAATTTTTTCGAGACGTCGGATCTACGGGTCGGGCGGGTTGTAATGGAGGATGACCTGGCTGGGGGGTGAAGGAAAGCCCCCTCAAAGAGCCCCTCAGGGCCCCAGTCGGGCCCCTGCTGGCTCCACCAGGAAGCCTCCAGGGCCCCCGTTGGGTTCTTCTCTTCGCCGCCCCCCCCAATACTGCCCGACAGCAGAGCACGTGCACGACACCAGCCCAGACATCCAGCGTCTTTCTGGGGCCTCCCAGGTGTCGGCGGTTGATACGCGTGCCCCTGGCCAAAGCTGCCTCCAGCTTTGTGCTCGCCATCTTTGAGCTCCTGGGTCCCTCAGACCTCGTGGGCGGTGCTCTGGAGGCCGTGGGAGCTCCCTGGAAGTCCTGGGGGCTCCTTGGACCAGGGGCACTCCTAGCAACACCCGAAGGTGGGGTCAGAGAGTAGGACGGGGTCGGAGGATCGCGCCGCATCGCCGATGCATCTACGATGCGGCTCGATGTGGAGCCCGATCCTCTCCACGCCGACGTCGCCGATGCATCGGATGCGGCGCCATCTTCCGACCTCATCTTCTCCGCCTCTGGCCTTGAGAAAATCAAGACGGAGTGTTTCATCTGCCTCTGGGGGCCGTTTTGGGGCCTCTGCACCGTCAAGAAGCAGTTCCGGATGAAAAGTGAAGTTTGTGTTAAGGGGTCGGGACTTCCGGGAATCTTTGCATTGAAAAATACGGCATCATATGTCTAAGGACAGAAATGATTGGAGGTCGGCGCGAATCTCTTGGGTCGGCGATATAGCCCCCCTACCCGCCACCTCTGGCTGCGCCTACTTGCACCGCCCGCAGCGCGCTCCACGCGCTGGGGAGGGGCGCGGTGAGGGAAGGCCAGCGCCGACCCAAGGAATGCAAGTGGACCTTCCGGCGTCTATGTTTCCGCCACTTGCTTCTGCTCTTCTGAAGGAGGCGCGGGTCGCACGCTTCGTCGAGGTGGCCCCAGGATGCGAGGCCAGAAACTCCTGAGATCTGAGGTCGTCGCGAGTCTGCTCGTGATCGGCGTCTTCCGCCCCGCCTCGGGCCCTCGCGGGTCAGTCCAGGTCGAGGCTTGCCGGCGAGACGTTGGGTCGAGGGTCCTTGTGGTGATGCCCCACGGTATTCTAACGTTTGTTGCGGCATGGTGACGCAGAACATCAAATTTGTTTATGGCCGTGTTTGGCCTTACAAAAACGGGAGATGTTGTGTGATGTTCCATATGACGTGTGATATGTTCTATCGTGCCCTTGGGCTCGTGCCCCTGGGCCCCCGCGCGTTGGCAGACGTGTGCACGTTTCTCGGCCCCACGGGGAGCAGACCTGCGTGGTCACGGACGGGAGCGTCGGCCGACCTCCACCATCTTCGGGGCGCTGCGTTCCGCGCTCTCTCTCCTCGGGAGCGCGCCGAGCTCGGCCAGATCTGGGCCCTGGGGGCCCCACGTCCGCTTGTTCTCCGCGTTCGCCCCCAAAGACGCCACCGACGCCGGACACTCTGACTCTCCGCGCGCACGTCCACCGCTCCGCGGGGCCGGAAGGCGCTCCTGCGGAGACGGTGGGCGTGGCCACCCTTCTCTCTGTGTCGCGCCCATGGGGCGCGAAGGAAGCAGCTCGTCGCCTGTCGCTGCCTGGGCCCGTGGAGCTGCGCCTCTCGTGGCGGCGGCGCGGGGGCGCGAGGGTAGAGGCGCGCTCCGCGCACCGCGGGGCGCGGACCGCGCGACCTCTTCGAGGCGTGGGCCCCGGAGCTCTCGACTCCCGCCCCGGGACCTGTTCTTCGTGCCCTAGGCATTCTGTCGACCGCCCCGGGGCCCGAGCGCGGCCCCCAGAGGCCCAGGGGCCGAGGATGGAGAAAGCGCCGGCCGCCGCGCTGTGCGCGACCCGCCGGACGTTTGGAGGTGTGACCACCTCTCTGGCCTCGGAGAGGTTTCCGGGGCAGCAGGGGGGGGGAGTCTGCTCTGGGGGGGGGGGGGAACAGCGACCCCCGATCTCCGACTCCGCGCCGGTGGGGGCCTGATGTAGCCCTCCCCGCTCAGGAGCGCGCGGCCTCGCGCTACTGGGGGCCTCTCTCGCTGATCTATCGGCGGTGCAGCTCGACACTCCCCCCCACCCCCCCCCTCGAGCCAGCCCCCCCCCCCCCTGACGTTAAGGCGGGCGTGTCCCTCTACAGGAGGTGACAGCAGTCAAATAGTCCGGGGACGATTTTTTTAATTATTTTTTCCACTATTTCCGAATCTGTGTTTTTTGGGAGGCCCAAGATCCGCCTGTAGCGGGACATGCCCGACCTGACCCTGAAGTTGCCCCTCGAGGCTGCGCCGGTGGCGCGGCGAGCGTCGGGGCCGGTGCAGCCCGGATCTGCGCTGCCCCCGCCCCGCTGCCGCTCGAGTGGGGGGACGAGGGCGCGGGCGTGCCAGCGCGGCAGCCGCAGGAGGACTCGCGGCTCCTGGAGCGCCTCTCGCAGCGCCTCGAGGGGCTCGACGCCCCAGGCCTCGGGGAGGCCCTCGGCGCCCTCGGGCGCCTGCGGCTCGTGGACGCGCGCGACGTGCTGGCCTTCCGCGAGACGTGGACGGACGAGGACACGGCCACGCTGCGGCGGCTGCATGGCGGCGCGGGCGAGGGCAAGGCCGCGGCCGAGAGGCTCCTCGAGCGGCTGCCCAGCGTGCGGGACTTCGCGGACCTCGTGGGCGGGCAGCCCACCGCCATGCTCATCAACGCGGGGAAGCTCAAGTTCTCCGAGCTCGCAGTGGGAGCCGCGGCCAGGGACGTGGTGGTGTGCTTCAACGATTTCGTCGGCGTCAGACCAAGCCCTGGACCATCTCACACCAAGATGGCGATCCTGGAGGCGTGCGGCGCGCTCGGCTCTGAGACGCCAGACACCCTGCAGTTCGAGGTAGACATCGCGGGAACGATGGACGGCTACTGCAGCATGTTTGACGAGACAGGCCATGAGAAGAGTGGCCGGGTCGTTTACATGTTCAGACCGACAGCCGCATGTGCATTACAAGCCGATGGAGTTCGATTCACTCCGGCCTTTCTGTTCTACTGGTTCGTCGGGCGCCTCTTCGGAGAGTTGGACATGTTCGGCTTCGAAGAGCCCGACCTGAACGACCCAGACTATTCGTTGCTGTTCTTCCAGCACCTCGTGTACACGACGGCAACAGAACCGACGCCCCCGTCACCAGAGCCGACGCCGGCATCGCCGCCACCGTCGTCCGCGCAGGCACCGACGTTGAAGTCATGGTCATGGTCGAAGCTTCGGCCTTCGGCTCCCGCACCGCCGACGCCAACGCCTCCAACGCCCGCGCTTGAGCCTACCGCGCCTCCGACGATGGCGCCTCCCATGCCCACGCCACCGCCACCAGAGGCTGAGGAGGCCGACGGAGAGCCCACTGCAACGGCGACGACGGAGACCACGGGCACGAGCACCACGACCCCCGCGCCGCCGCGGGGCAGGTGTGCGGCGATCGCGCGCGACGCCTTCGAGGGTTCCATCGAGCGCTCTGGCCTTTGCCCCGAGCAGGCGGACTTCCAGGCCCCGCAGCACTTGACACGCGAGCGCATTGCCACATCGGATGACGACCTCCTCATGCGCCTGCGAGAGTACATGGACGCGCATGACGATGATCCGCGCAGGGAGAGATTCGAAGAGGCACTGGCGGCGTTGGAGCGCTGGAAGCACATCAACGCAGGAGACCTTCTGGCGTTCCGGGAGACATGGACCCACGAGGACACCGAGATTTTGCGCAGGCTGGACGACAGTGACGGCGGCTTTGCGGACGGCAGGCTCACCACGGAGGGCGTGCGACAGAAGTTGCCCACGGCGGCAGATTTCACCTACCTGGTGAGGGATCGTCCCGTCGCAATCGTGGGTGCCGCGGATGGACTGCAGGTATCGGCGTTCGGGCCAGAGATAGACCGTCATCCCGTCATTGTGCGCTTCAACGATCACGTCAAAGAGCATTTACGCCCCGAGACAACCGGTCTGAGGATTGAGCAGCTTCTGTTTCTCGTTGTACTTCACCGCCAACGCAACTTCATTCTTCCCCAACCATCCTGTGGTGTTGGGTCCTCGCTGTGAAGAGAGAGAGAGAGAGAGAGAGAGAGAGAGATACAGAGAGACCCCACGTCTCCACCTCCTCTCTCTTCCTCCCCTCCTCCTCGTCGTCGTCCTCCTCCTTCTCCTCTTCCTCTTCCTCCTCCTCCTCCTCCTCCTCCTCCTCCTCTTCATTCTCCTCCTCCCCCTCCTCCCTCCTCCCGTCACGCCCCTCACTTTGGCACACCACCTCACACGTCTCGTGGCCTCATAGGAAGCTCCACCGAAGGCCCCGGTGGCATGATTCGCATGCCGCCCTCCTCCACTTTGGCAAACCCCTCACACGCTTCGTGGCGCCATAGGGAGGTCCACCGAAGGCTCCAGTGGCATGATTCGCATGCCGCCCCCCTCCACTTTGGCACACCCCTCACACGTTTCGTGGCGCCATAGGGAGGTCCACCGAAGGCTCCAGTGGCATGATTCGCATGCCGCCCCCCCTCCACTTTGGCACACCCCTCACACGTTTCGTGGCCCCAAAGGCTCCAGTGGCATGATTCGCATACCGCCCCCTCCATTTTGGCACACCGCCCCCCCTCCACTTTGGCACACCCCTCACGCGTTTCGTGGCTCCATAGGGAGCTCCACCGAAGGCCGCAGCGGCGGTGTCCGCATGCGTTCCCCCCGCCCAGTGCGGCCGCAGCGGCGGTGTCCGCATGCGCTTCCCCCACTCAGTGCAGCGTTTCATGGCCCCGTCGGGAGCTCCACCGGAAGTCCCAGTGGCGGTGTCCGCATGCGTTTCCGCCACCCAGTACAGCGCGCTGTGGCCCCATAGGGAGGCCCACTGAAGGCCCCAGTGGCTGTGTTCGCATGCGTTCCCTCCGCCCAGTGCAGCGCTTCGTGGCCCCATGGGGAGCTCCACCGAAGGCCGCAGCGGCGGTGTTTGCATGCGTTTCCCCCACTACACATTCTCGTGGCCCCCTAGGGAGCTCCACCGAAGGTCCCAGCGGCGGTGTCCGCATGCGTTTCCCCTACTCAGTGCAGCGTTTCGTGGCCCGTCGGGAGCTCCACCGGAAGTCCCAGTGGCGGTGTCCGCATGCGTTTCCCCCACCCAGCATAGCACTTCGTGGCCCCATATGCAGGCCCACCAAAGGCCCCAGTAGCGTTGTTCGCATGCGATGCCCCCGCCCAGCACAGCGTTCCTCCCGCCCAGAGCACCGCTCTGTATCTCCATAGGGAATTCCACCGAAGGTCCCTGGCGGAGTCCGCATGCGTTTCCCCCCCAGTGCAGCGTTCGTGGCCCCGTCGGGAGCTCCACCGAAGGTCCCAGTGGCGGTGTCCGCATGCGTTTCTCCCACACAGTACAGCGCTTCGTGGCCCCGTCGGGAGCTCCACCCGAAGCCCCAGTGACGGTGTCCGCATGCATTTGCCCCACCCAGTACAGCGCTTCGTAGCCTCATAGGGAGGCCCACCGAAGGCCCCAGTGGCATAATTCGCATGCGTTTCCCCCGCCCAGTACAACGTTTTGTGGCCCCACAGGGAGTTCCACAGAAGGCCCCAGTGTCGGTGTTCGCATGCGTTTTCCATACTCAGTACAGCGCTTCGTGGCCCCAAATGGAGCTCCACCGAAGGCTCCAGTGGCGACCCCGCTGCAGTGCGGCGCATCTCTCGCACGCTTCGCGGCCCCATAGTGAGTTCCACCTAAAGCCCCAGTGGCAGCGCCCACATGGCAGCCCCGCTGCATATCGGCACACCCTTCGCATGTTTCATGGCCCCATGAGGAGATCCCCCGAAGGCGATACCCGCAACGACGGTATTCACAACTGCATATGGTTGGGCATTTCGCCAGGATAGTTCTCCACAGCTCCGTTCTGTAAATGTGGATGTTCCTTCAGACGGCACTCGCAACCAGAGTAGAGGAGGGAAGCGGCAGTCAGAACACCGAAGTTCTCGCGTTCACCTCCATACGTTTCCCCCCTTGGCACAGCATTCGTTCCCATGTGTGTGGGGCGGTTTGTGGGTCAGTTCCAAATGCAGTGACGGGCGCAACGGTGTTCGAATCGGTGGATCGCTGCCTGTGCGGAGGTATACCATATAGTTGCAGCATCCAAGATGACACCGTCCTTTCGGCGGGCGCCACATTGGTCGCCATGAAAATGAGTTGGGTCCAGAGGGAAACGGATCGTTTGGTTTGTCGCAGTTGTTGGCTCCTATGGCCTTCCTCGGGATGGTTGTGCAACACGAGGATGAGCATACTATGTGCGCATCTGGTTTCTGACGATGTGCCTTATCATGAGTGTCCAGGCATGAGCGAGTCGGAGCGACTGGTACGAGTGGATTTGAGTGCAAGTGAGTCTGGGTATGAATGTGTTTCCCCTCGCGGCTTCCCATTCGGATGCCTCACCTGCTATATCCGCGTGGCCACGGGGCATTGAAAGGAGACTCGTCCGCTGGGCCTAAACAGGAGTTTCGCCAGAGAGGTCCCCATAATCTGGGCGCCAACGGGCCAGTGTCTTACCCTCTGAGGCGGATACCCCCTTGGGATGCCCAAGCGCCGTGCCAGCTACATCGCTATGATCATGGGGCTCCGAGCAAATAACACGCCTAACCCCCCAAATCAACAATTATGCTTCCGAGATCCCGACGGTCTGGGCTTGAGAACGGCCCATCCAACACCCCGTTGGGATGTCCAAGTGCCGTGCTTGCCCGTCGCTGTGATCATTGGGCTCCGAAACACGCACGCACACACACACACACACACACACACACACACACACACACACACACACACACACACACACACACACACACACACGTTTGCCCCCACCCAACCCACTCACACACCAAGAACAGCCACCACTGTGCTCCAGGGGTCCCGACAATCTGGGCACGAACGAGCCCGCTTCCTGATGGGATGTTCAAGGTTCAAGTGCCGTGCCTGCTACATCGCGGTGATTATGGGGCTCAGGAGAACACACGCCTACCCCCCCCCAAACAAAAATCATGTGGCGCAGGACCTAACCAGATGCAGTTGTGGGTACCGCCTTCGATGGAGCTTCCTATGGGCCACGAAACGCTGTACTGGGCGGGGGAGACATGCGAACTTTGCCGCTGGGGCCTTCCGTGGAGCTCCCTATGGGCCACGAAACGCTGCACTGTGTGAGGGAGACGCATGTGAACGGGTCCATTGGGGCATTCGGCGGAGCTCCCTATGGAGCTCCGGAGCGCTGTATTGGGTGGGGGAGACGCATGTGAACGGCTCCCCTGGGGCCTTCGGTGGAGCTCCTTCTGGGACCACGCAACGCTGCAGATGGCGGGGGAGACGCATGTGGACAGTGCCATTGGGGTTTCCAGTGGAGCTCCTTATGGGGCCACGAAGCGCTGTACTGAATGGGGGAGGCGCACGGGAACGAGTCCTGTGGGGCCTTCGGTGGAGCGCCGTATGGGGCCACAAAGCGTTGTAGTGGGCGGGGGAGACGCATGCGAGTGCAGCCTCTGGGGCCGTAGGTGGAGCTCCCTATGGGGCCACGATGCGCCGTGCTGGGTGGGGGGAAACGCATGCGGACATCGCCACTGGGGCCGTCGGTGGAGCTCCTTATGGGCCACGGAACGCTGTGCTGAGTGTGTGGGGAAAGACGCATGTGAACACCGCGATTGGGGCATTAGGTGGACATCCCCATGGGGCCACGAGACGCCGTGGTGGGTGTGGGAGACGTATGCGGAACCCGCCACTGGGGCCTTCGGTGGAGCTCCCTATGGGGTCACGAAGCGCTGCTCGGTGTGGGGGAGACGCATGTGGACACCGCCACTGGAGCCTCAGGACGCCACCACTGGGGCCTTAGGTGGACTTATGAGGCCACAAAACGCCGTGCTGATGGGGGGAGACGCATGTGGACACTGCCAGTTGGGCTTGCGGTGGACCTCCTTATGAGGCTACGGAACGCCATGCTGGGTGTGGGATGTGTATGCGGGCATCGCCACTAGGGCCGTAGGTGGAGCACCCCAGGGGGGCACGAAACGCTGTGCTGGGTGGGGGAGACGCACGTGGACACCGTCATTGAGGCCTTAGGCGGACCGCCTTATGGGGCCACGAAACGCAGTGTTGGATGGAGGGGGACGCATGTGAACGGGTCCATTGAGGCCTTCGGTGGAGTTGCATATGGGGCCACGGAACGTTGTGTTGAATGGGGGGGACGCATGTGGACACCGCCATCGGGGCTTCAGGTGGACCTCCTTGTGAGCCCACGAAGCGCCGTGCTGGGTGGAGGGTGACGCATGCGGACATCGCCAATGAGGCCTTCGGTGGACCCCCCTATGGGTCCACGAAACGCGGATGATGATGATGATGATGATGATGATGATGATGATGATGATGATGATGATGATGATGATGATGATGATGATGATGATGATGATGATGATGATGATGATGATGATGATGATGATGATGATGATGATGATGATGATGATGATGATGATGATGATGATGATGATGCTGATGCTGATGCTGATGCTGATGCTGATGCTGATGCTGATGCTGATGCTGATGCTGATGCTGATGCTGATGCTGATGCTGATGCTGATGACGATGATGCTGATGCTGATGCTGATGCTGATGTTGATGCTGATGCTGATGCTGATCTTGATGCTGATGCGGATGCTGGCGCTGATGCTGATGCTGATGCTGATGCTGATGGTGATGGTGATGTTGATGATGATGGTGATGATCATGACGACGACGAGGACATGCGGCGGGCAGAGTCAGGGATGGAAAGAGGGAGGAGGGGGAGGAGGAGGAGGAGGAGGAGGAGGAGGAGGAGGAGGAGAAGGAGAGGAGAAGGAGAAGGAGGAGGATCACGCCTGCATTGTCTTTTCAAAACGAGGACCCAACACCACAGCATGGTTGGGAAAACATGCGACCATTCGTCCTGAACATTCCCTGGCGGCTCCCTCCTGG